GGGGGGGGGAGGAAGAGAGAATCCCAAGCAGGCTCTGCGCTGTCAGCACAGAGCCCAATGTGGGGCTCAATCTCAGGAACCATGAGATCATGACATGATCCGAAATCACGAGTCAGACACTCAACCGACTAAGCCACCCAGGTGCCCCCAAAGATCTTCAGTTTAAAGCAATTGTTCTCAACTGGGGGCAATTTTGCCCCCAGGAACATTTGGCAATTTTTGGAGACATTTATGGTTATCACAATGGGTAGGAGGTGCTACTGGTGTCCAGTGGGTAGAGGCCAGAGCTGCTGCTAAACACGCACCCCCAAAAGCTCGCCCCCCACAACAAAGAATGATTAAGTCCAATGTCAACAGTACCAAGATTCAGAAACGTGATTTAAAAGGACCTTTAGGGATCCCTCAGAGTGTCCAAAGACTGCTTTTTAATTTCTTGGGCTGGCTCAGGCTGGAAATAAAGTCTTTAGGAAAGATGTAGACTGGAATCAAACCCTAGTCTGAACCAGGAGGTAGAAAGCCAGGGATGCAGGACAGGGTTACCTGGCCACCAGTGTGTATCTGCCAATACCAACATATTGACTACAGAGCAGCCAATCAGATTCCGCCCCTCAGAAAGCCATCCTGATGGGCCCAGATTACCTGAGGCTCTGGCTCTCAGCTAGGGGAGAAGGACACAGGCACGTTACATGCCTGGACTTCAGTTCTCCTCCTACCCTAGATTTCTATAAGGGAAATGCCCTCTAAGTCAGCTCAGGGAAAAGAGGAACAGGTACCTGGGGACTACAGGCCTGGACGTCTGCAGAGCTGGAAGCTAGGGGCAAGTGGGGCTCAACCTCTGCCTTGCAGTGTCAGGCCAGTGAGATGCCCAACTTCCTAGTCCCCACTCCTACTTCACTCGGCTCCTCTCCCAAAAGGTCAGGGTGGGGCCAGCCCCCAGTCTGAACTCCTCGGCAGCAGTTGTCACCTTATCCAGGACACCTGCATCTCTGCCTTGCGTGGTGACCCTGCCTACACCTTCCTCCCCACTCCCTGCAGGAGTCCCCCGTCCAAGGGGAAGCAGGCCCCACCTGTGCTTTCAATGTAGTAGTGCGTGATGCCCTTCCAGTGCTCCACGAAGGCCTCCAGCAGGTCAATGCTGGGCTCCCGCTGTGGAGAGAGCAGAGACACACAGCCTAAGTAGCCACCACGGGTGATCACGGGCTCCGCTGCCACCATCACCCATCAGAACAGATGTTCCACCATTTACCAAGTGTTGGGTCAGTGCTAGGCCCTGGAGGAAGCACTGTGATCCAGGTTCTCAAAGGGAACAATAACACATTTTCCCCAGGACAATCTCTTGGCACCTCTCCTGGACCCCCTCTGTCCTGGAAATGCTGTACTCCTGCTACATGTCATGATTCCACAGTCCCTGTCCTGGAAGAGCTAAGAATGTTGGTGGGGGAAACAGACACAGAAACAGATCCTCTCAAGACAGTTACACTACAATAGAAAGACATAGAGGAAAACAGTGAAGCGTCCCAAAAATAACAAAATAAAAATGATACACGTGGAAAACATGGCAGAGACAAAGCTTTTAGGTCCCTCTCAATCTGAGAGTCTGCAAAAATCTGTGTTTAAGGCCACTGAAAGGCTTCGTTCAACCAGATGGGTAATGTTAGCATAATATTAATAAAGCGCCTTACTTACAACATGCTTGCATCTTTTATTCAAGGCTGAGAACTGCTGGAGGAGTTAGGGGTGCACGGCCTGAAGCCCCAGGGAATTCTATTCCCATTGTGAGCAAGCCCCAAACCTCTCCCTTTTCCAGAAGTGATCTCTCCATCTCTACACTGAGAGTAGCTTTGAACTGATAACTACTTTCTCTGAAAACTCCAAAAAAGAGCATTTGTTCCCTTTTCTTGCGGAGTAAATGACTACAGGAGAAAAATGCACAAATAATCCCTTACCACAGATGCTCATTTCTACCTCTCCATCTCTGCTCAGGCCACTCCTTTACCCCGGAAGCCCTGCATCCCCCTACGCTTGCCTAGATCCTAACAGTCACCAGTGAGGTCTGGCTAAGGGCCACCAGCTCCAGAAAGGCCTTGCCAGAGTTCTTGGACACATCTTTCTCTAACCTCACACTTTACTACATCATAGAACTGACAGTCTACTCCTTATTTATTCAGTATCTTTTGAGTGCCCACTGTGTACAAGACGCTATGCTAGACACTATAAGCAATATAAGGATGTTGAAGACCCAGTGCCAGGGAGAAGAGAATATAAAACCACCCTGAATAACTCAGCTACAGGAAGTTGCATGAGGACACAGGAGAGATGGAACATGATCTCTGGGAAAAGAGCACTAGAACAGAGAAGGCTTTACTGAGGTTACCCTTGAACTAAAACTTGAAGAACAGGGTCCGAGTTCAACAGTTCGAGATGAAGGAAAGACATTTCCTGCAGAAGGAACTCTGCACAGAGTGTCTGGGACAAGGATGGGTTGATGAGTGTATGTGTCCCTGTACATCAAGCCACCAAGTCAGGATTGTTTTTTGCAGGCAGTGGGGGGCAGTCAACGACATCTTCTGAGCAGTGTTCCAGGCAGGGTCATCTGGCAGTTTTGTGTAGGCGATGAAGGCAGGAAGAATGGTTGGAAGGCCATTATGACAGGAGAAAGAAGCAGTAACACTGAATCAGAGGCCCTGAAACACTCCCAGACAACCTTGTCTTCTTTCAAAGTTAGCTGTGGGGGGCATGACTCTTACTGGAGTGGCACCTCCAGTAAGTCATTCCAAACACACTTTCCACATGAATTGACTGCATCTTACCACGTCCTGTGTGATACTATTATTGCTGGATTAGTGCTCACCTCTTCTACCAGACTGTGAGCTCCCTGAGGGCTCGGGTTCTGTGTTTTCTACCTCTGCCTGCTCCTAAAGGGCTCTGCACATAGTGACTACTCATTCATATGTACTAAATAGCTCAGCAAACTCCTTAACACCTCCTTTCCATAGTTTCTTGTCTCTTGGAAAGCCCCCTGCTCCTTGACCAGCACTATAATTATCTCACTTTTCTGTGATGGGCTCTCATCTAGTCTCAAAATTCATTGATAGTCTCCTAAAACCTTGAGCTGGACTTACATTAGAAAAGAACAATTGGGTAAGAGGAGAACCCAGAGAACACAGACTGTTAGCAAACTGTAACGGACTGTCACAAAACAGACTGTTGGAAGAAAGCAAGGGAATCTACTATTAGTTATCATAACTCCAAAGGAACTATACCACATGATGATCTTTACTATCTTCGTTAATGATAACAAAGATGTTTTTTATTTTTATTTTTTTTTTAATTTTTTTTTCAACGTTTTTTATTTATTTTTGGGACAGAGAGAGACAGAGCATGAACGGGGGAGGGGCAGAGAGAGAGGGAGACACAGAATCGGAAACAGGCTCCAGGCTCCGAGCCATCAGCCCAGAGCCTGACGCGGGGCTCGAACTCATGGACCGCGAGATCGTGACCTGGCTGAAGTCGGACGCTTAACCGACTGCGCCACCCAGGCGCCCCAAAGATGTTTTTTAAAAGAACCATAAGGATTGCCATTCTGTTTTGTCAGAAGAGGGCAGGAAGGAGCACTCTCCCTCCTTATAACAAGGAGTCAAGCAACTTGCTGGGGTCCTAACCTGGTGACCCAGCCAGGGGAAGGGCTATGCCCTGATCTGGGGGGTAGAGAGCAAAAGAGGGGCTCCTATCTCTCCTGACAGCTATACTGGGTCAGCCAAACTTCTCCAGAATTGTCTATATATTGTATACTCAGGAGCAGAAGATCACTTGCCTAAAAATATCTCCCTTGACCACCAGTACCCCCTCCAGCCACTGATGCAGAAATTCCCTCATTGGAAGCATTAGAAATTCACTTCTCAAAACTAAGGCTCTCTCTGGCCCACCTACCCACGCTGCCCATGGAGCTTTCCCTGACAGGTATGAAGTAGTTTGTCACATCACTTTCTAAGATGATGTGTCTTGATAGGAGACAAGGAGGAGCGGAAGAAGAGATCATTTTAGAACCCCTCCCAAGGGGGGCTGCCCTGGAAGCACCTGGACATCAGGAAGGGCAGGGCTGGGGACAGGAGGAGAGGCAGGAGGAGAAGCTTTTCACTTTCTTCACAAATCTCATTAAGGCTGAGCCTGTTCCCATGTACAATAAGCTCTGTTTCGGGGGGGTGCGTTGAGGAAAAAGGAGGTGAAACACAAGTCTGTTTCTCCAGAGCAACTCTGATACAATATACTAAACCGATCAATTAGAGGAGGACTTCTACTTTGAGACAAAAGAACTGTTAACTCTACAGACAGATTCTTGGCAGGGTTGCTTTAAACAGAAGGCCTCTGGCCTACCCTATCCACACTGCACTTTTATCTCACTGAATGAAGTGAACCCGCCTGTGACCAGCCTTCAACTCCCAACAGAAAATGGCAAAAACACAAACTCTTCCTCACATGGCTGCCCCAAGGCCCCACCAGGCTGGCCTCTCCTGACTCAAGGTCAACCTGGCTCCGCTGGTGTGGTGCGGCTAGTGTGGTGGGAGATAACATTCTGTATACAGCCCCTGGGCCCTGCTGTTTCCTGGGCCAGGCACCCACCCACCTCTGGGTTGTGTATACACGGTCAGGGCTTGGGCCATCTGGGGCGGGACTTCTCAAGTGGAGGCTGAGAGACACGCGCCTGACTAAGGTCCTGGGGTTGTCTGGAGGCTCAGAAGGAGGGCAAGGGACGTCTATTTTTCAAGCCCAGGTGACCAGGAAGGGAGGAGCGTGGGCCGAGGAGGAGGGCGAACAGCCTGGGGAGGGGACTTTGGGGAAGAAACTCTTGGGTGACA